GAGACTATGCATAAATTTGGCATAAAAACAGAATAGTTTTGTGACAAGCTGTGGAAACGTGTTTTTGACTATGATACGCAGTTTCAACAAATACTCTATGTTGGCTTTTAGGAGCTCAGATTAATGGTCTGCATCTGGTAAACTCCTTTAACAAACACATTCCAAATATAAGCATAATTTCTAATCCCAATTAAAAGTTGTATTCCTAAAATACTTGGGTGGATCAGTTGTAACTCATTGTCTATTCAGTGGTTTGATTATTCACTTTCAGTAAGCCTGTTTGAGCCGTTGGCTTTGTTTTCTGCTTTCAGCAGACATGAAAGGCTTCTGCCGCGGCCTACGGCAGATTCAGTCCACCTACTACAATGTACGGCATGTATTCACAGCTAATGTTGGTCCACCTCCCTTTTGTTTTGTAGATTTTTCCTTAATTTTTTGTTAACAAGAGATGGGCGTGATGGGAAACCCCAGAAGAGCAGTCCCGCAGCTACTCAAGCCAGCCTGCAGCTACTCCACAGTCAAGATAGAAAGATATCCCTTCATCGTTCTCTTCTACGGTTTGAACGTCAGTCTTTGCCTGATTTGACACTTTTCCAAAAAAGCAAGATAACAGGCCAGTGGCTGCATGTGCGTGATTCCTGCAGGAAGATTAAGAGAAACACCAAACAGTTAATCCCATTTTTTTATTTGAGAGTTGAGCTCTGAGTTTCAGGTCTTATTTACAGTTGCATTGTTGCGGTTCTGATTTCTGGGAGCTCCAACCGCCGATGTGGTAAAGTAGGAAATAAAAACAATTTTAAAAAAGCTGACGGCAACATCACACCCAGAGAGAGGGTCAGAGCTTGTTGAGTGACAGTGCACACACAATATCCTAGCTGTACAATAATCGTGCTACTATTCACATTCAGCTGTACATTAAGAATCCTATTTACAGTGATCACATTAGGGAGAGAGCCAGTACCTGAGGAGTTACTTCCACCATTGGGTTTACTCATTCACCAGAATAAAAAGATGCACATCCGTCTCAGAAACACCATATCCACAAGATCTATATCCAGGATTTTTACAGCTCTCTGCTCCTAATGATGCAACAACCCTGGAAGTGGTTGAAGGAAGTAGTGGGCTCCATGACAACAGGATCAACAATGGAGTTCTGTTTGTTCTAGACATTAAATGGCCTTATCATTTGCGTCACGCACCCACCCTCCACATTAATGTGAATCAATTTTTGAAAGGTTTGTCTTTGCTGAGGTAGGCAGCGAAGAGCAGATTAGATTAGAGTGTTATTGGTGTTTTTACGCAAGCCCAAGATGTGTCATTTCCCCTTGCAGCACCCAACATTGGGTGTTTGTAAAAGTTGACTATTGTTTCTTTAAGAGAAACACTCCTCTCAGATACTTCAAGTTAGCTGGCACACTTCAAGAAAAAAAAAAAAAAAGACAGGAAGCTATAAACAAAAAGGTGAGGTCAATTTACTCAGGCTCTCTCCAAAAGCACACCTGTACATGGAAACATAACGGCCGAGTGATTAATACCGTTCAACAGCACATCAGATTTAAAAACACCACAAAGAAACGCCTTGGAAATGTGCAGCATTTTCTCCCAAAAATAAAAACGAACCAATAAATAAAAAAAGAGAATAAAAATAATTCATTAAATAACAATCATTGTCTCAGTTTAGGATCACCTGAAAAGGGATCAGCGTCAACTTAAACTGTCCGGAGTCCATTTAAAAAAGGAAAGAAAAAAAAAATCTATGAAATGCTCCAAGTCCTCCGCCTTTTTACATTTACAGTACAACAGCGACCTCTGCAGGCCTGAATCTCATTCAACCTCATTATATTGGAACCATTTTTACCAATTACCCACTTCACAATCAAATATATCTAAAGAGGGCGATGATTCAGGTCAAAACGTCTGTTTTCTGTCAGTTTGCCAGGAGTAGTGATTTCTGCAGAGGAGCAGGGTAACAGAAGCAGTCACACATTGAGGAGCGGTAGATTTGGTATGATCCAGCAGCTTTACGTCGTCTGTAAATCTAGGAGTCTGAGTGGAGGCTGAATGGGGCGTTAAGCCTTGTAGTTGTTCGCCTGCGTGGTGAGGGCCAGCTGACCGTTGGGGGCCACCTCGGTGGCCTCGTCCTCCAGCAAGCCGGACACGTCTGCGTTGGGGATGCTGTCATGGTAGCTGCTAAAGCTGATGTTGTCCTCCTTCAGCTCAATGGTCCAGAAGGGGGCGTTGAGCTTGCGGTTCTGATACTCCCGGTAGGTGTACACGCCTCCCACGAAGCCCAGCAGCAGCAGCACCACCAGAATGATGACGGCCAGGATGATGATGTTAAACTGCGTCCATGAGACCTCGGTTAGGGCTGCTGTGGTGTTATCTGTGGGGCTGCTCAAGCTGGTCAGCAGGGCCTGGGTGGTGCTGCTGCTCGAGGCGTTGTCGTCAACCTCGTTGAATCTGAGAGCCGGCCTGCCTTTGGTTGCTGTGGAGGTGGAAGTGGTGCTGGTGAGAGATGACGTTGGGGAAGCGCCACTGGGCGGGGGGGGTTTGGTTGTGACCTCTGCTGGTGCTGGAATCAGTCGAGGGTCTAAGGAGAATAAAAACATTTGAAACTTCAGTGAATCTTAATTTGTAGCCTTAAGGAATTCACGCTGATGTAGGAAAGGTCCAAGAAATGATCCAGAACCGACTGGCCACTATTCTGGATCGTTCAATTGTCTTTAAAAATCAAAACACTAAATGCTGAATGCATGTCCAGCTTGCTGACAACAATGGTGTAACTATCGGTAAGAGGAGTATGCAGTTGCTTAGGGGCCCTGGCCTCCTATTAGGGTCGGGGGCCCCTTCACTGACACCAGGTAGGCCCCCTACACAATTCTGGACAAGGATGTCTCTTTGCAAATATAATGGTGCAAAAAAATCATCTTAAACCCACCTGACACTAAACTGAATGACCGGACCGTATAAATACCCCAACACATGGCAGACTTCAACAGGATGGTGAGCGAGACAGTGGTACTTTTAATTATTATGTTAATAATGCGTATAGTTCATTAGACGGTTGGTAAAAAATACACTCCTATTGTTGGAATAATTATGTATAAGATACTTAATGTTTGTTCTTATGATGTGTAATGTCTGACATATTACTGTTCCAGAGAGGTGTTGCACAAGCAGTATAGGTCAACTCTCAGGAAGTATTGCTCAAGCTTAAAGAAACCAGGAGGTTCTCGGACCATTTGACC